CTGTATTTCCCCACAGTCTCACCTTGTGTTCACATCAGCAGGCAAGTCGTTTACGTGGCCCTAAGTTTGTCTTTTGTGGGTGTTCAAGGCTACTCGTGGTGTTGTTTGTGTAACAGATTCAGAATTCAGAAGCGGATTCAAGCAGTGATTTAAATTTAACCCAAACTAAAAGGAGAGGGCAGATTCCATAAACTCTCTATATCTTCTATATACTCTAAATATTCTCTATATACCGTGTATATGCTCTGTATACTCTCCATACCGTCTATATACTCTAAATATTCTCTATATACCGTGTATATGCTCTGTGTACTCTCCATATACTCCAAATACTGTCTAGATACTCTACACTCTCTATATATGTTAAATACTCTCTATTCTATTTACTCTAAATACTCTCTATATACCGTCTATATGCCCTGTATACTCTAAATATTCTCTAAATACCATCTACATACTTTAAATATTCTCCATATACCGTGTATATGCTCTGTATACTCTCCATATACTCTAAATACTGTCTATATACACTGTATATACTTTAAATACTCTCTATACCCTCTATATACTTCAAATACTCTCTATATACTGACTATATGCTCTGTATACTCTCTATATATTCTATATACTGTCTAAATACTCTATATACTTGGAAGACTCTCTACATACTTTAAATACTCTCTATATACGCTCTATATATTCTAAATACTCTCTATGTATTCTCTATATACCCTAAGTACTCCCTATATACTCCATATATTCTAACTACTCTCTACATATTCGCTATATACTTTCTATGTACTCTGTATCCTCTCTATACATTCTTCATATACTCTCTATATACTCTAAATACTCTCTATATACAACCTCATTTCCAAGAAAGTTGTGACGCTGTGCAAAATGTAAATAAAAACAAAATGCAATGATGATGCAAATCATTTAAACCCTATATTTAACTGATATACTACAAAGACCACATATCAAATGTTCAAACTGAGAAATTTTATAGTGTTTTGAAAAATATTTGCCCATTTTGAATTCGATGCCAACAACACGTTCCAAAAAAAGCTGGGATGGGGAAACAAAAGGCTGGTAAAGTTGTGTAATGCTAAAAAAAAAGTGTCCTGTGGTCTGTGGTCAGTTGTTTTTGGAAATCTTGGTCACTGTGTCTTCTGGGCTAAAGACCACTCAGCTTGTTATCAGTGCACAGTTCTAAAGCCAGTATTCATGATGGTATAGGGGGGCATTAGTGCACATAGTATGGGTGACGTGCACATCTGTCAAGGCACCATTAATGCTGAACGATATATATGTTTTGGCAACATATGCTGCCATCCAGACGACGTCTTTTTCAGGGAAGGCCTTGATTATTTCAGCAAGACAATGTAAAACCACATTCTGCATGTATTACAGCAGCATGGCTCTGTATTAAAAGGGTCCAGGTGCTAAACTGACCTGCCTGCAGTCCAGATCTGTCACCACTGATAACATTTGGCTCATTATGAAATGAAAAATACGACAAAGGAGCCCCTGAACTGATGATCAGCTGAAATCCTGTATCAAACAAGAACAGGAAAACATTTCACTTTCTAAACTACAGCAGTGTCTCCTCAGTTCCCAAACACTTACAGAGTGTTGTTAAAGAAGAGGTGATGAAACACAGTGGTAAACAGGCCCCCTGTCCCAACTTTTTTGGAACGTGTTGTTGGCATCAAATTCAAAATGGGCAAATATTTTTCAACAACCAATAAAATTTTGCAGTTTTAGCATGTGATATGTTGTCTTTGTATTTTCCTTTAAAAATATGATTTATATGATTTGCATATCATTGCATTCTATTGTTATTTACATTCTGCACAGCGTCCCAACTTTTTTGGAAATGGGATGTACTTTCCACATACTCTGTATACTCTCTATATAGCCTCTATATGCTCTACATACTCTTTATAATCTCTATAATCTCTATAATCTCTAAATATCCTAAATACTCTCTGTAAACTCTATATAATCTCTATATAATCTCTATATACACTCTATTGGGCACAATTACGTTATTTCCTGAAAGTACTGAGCATTATCTGGAGATTTAAGGTGGATTTTACGGACCTGTCTTTTTGGGTCCTCTCCAGACAACGGCTTCATCAGGGTCATCCAGCAGGAAACCAATGGACATCAGAGCCAGACGCTGCTGAGGGTCCGCGTACACAGGAACCCACCCGGAGTCACACTGATGAACCTCCTGCTGGGAGACACCCAGCATCCGCGGAATACTTGGACCACACAGATCCACATCCAGGATCCCAACCTGAGACAGAACACACACACAGAGGTTTGTGTCTATATGTGGAAATAATATTTCCCTTCAGTGTCTGAAGCCCCCCTGGTAGTCGGGGGTCCAGTGTTGTCTGTCTGCTAACTCTCTCTCCATAGCAGCGCTGATGCTTCAGTGTCAGTAAATGTTTGTTTTATCAGCTGTTCTTCTGTAGAGTCTCTGTTCTAGTGCGGTTCTGCGCTCTTCCTCACAGTAACTGAGATCTTCCTCGTCTCCTCTTCTGTAGAGTCTCTGTTCTAGTGCGGTTCTGCGCTCTTCCTCACATTAACTGAGATCTTCCTCGTCTCCTCTTCTGTAGAGTCTCTGTTCTAGTGCGGTTCTGCGCTCTTCCTCACAGTAACTGAGATCTTCCTCGTCTCCTCTTCTGTAGAGTCTCTGTTCTAGTGCGGTTCTGCGCTCTTCCTCACAGTAACTGAGATCTTCCTCGTCTCCTCTTCTGTAGAGTCTCTGTTCTAGTGCGGTTCTGCGCTCTTCCTCACAGTAACTGAGATCTTCCTCGTCTCCTCTTCTGTCTTCAGTGTGAGAAATGAGGAACAGTCACTCTTCACTCCAAACTCTTGGGAAACTGGGCGAGTTTTCAGATTTACAGATCTGCTGCAGCTCATTGTAAAGTTTTCAGAGGAATCCGGGCAGAGTTACAGTTTCTAGGCTATGAAGGACCAACTGGGTGAACCACTCTGCTACAGCGCCACCCTGAGGCAGAGCAGTGCTGCAGCTCTAGTTAGTTAAGAACACCAGAGACAGAAGCTGATCGTGGGAGAAGCAGATAAACAATTAGCTTCAGTGAGTCTGTTTGAGCGTCTATTTTACATCAAAATAAGTTTATTTTCAGGGAATCCTCAAAATTTTGACTTTGAGACATTTAGGGTGGTCCAGCGGGTTAACTGTGGGGTCCCGGACCTCTCAGGACCCCCTGGACTTTGCCCTTTGATCAGTAAGACAGTCCATTAAGCACAAAACATTAATTTTTCAGGGGATAATTCTGAGGAGATTAGATATGAGATAATCTACTTGTACAAGAAAGGAGAAGCTCAGAGGAACATAAGCTGAAAAAAAGACGACTCAGCGCTGTGGGTCTGAAAGGATGTGTAGCTGATCAAGAAGAACCTCACTGAGAAAAGGAGACGGACACATCAAACAAAGAAGCTGAACAATGGACTGACCACTCCAGAGTCCAGACCTCAACACCACTGAATGTGTTTGATTACTTCAGAAAATGATCAACCAGCTTCTAAGACTGAACTTTGGAGGTGTGTCTGCAGATTCTTTGAGGAGCTGAAAGAGAGTTTCCTGAACAGAATGGAAGCTGGAATAAAGGGGAAGAGTGACTCACTGACTCACACAGCTGAGAGTAGAGTTAGTTGCGGAGGCTTCTGGGTAGTTTTCTCTTAAATATATATTGTCTGCTTTATTTCCTGACACTGAAAGCGAATAACTTGTATTTAATTGCTGCTTTGACTGTAAATTAAACAAAAGAAGGGGCTCTATAATGGCTCAGTATTGTATATTACAGCCTATATGACACAGTATGTCCCATATGTAATATTAAATAATAACATGTAATAATAATAACGTGTAACAAGTTTATATGCATACAGACACATATTTATGTTATTGTTATGATAAATATATACGTATATCGTCACCCTCAGAACAAAATCTCGTAAATTTACACAAAAAAGAAAATAATTCGTTCAATTTTAATAGAAGTTAATGGAGAAAATATTTATTCCAAGGCATTTTTGAGCATTTCTATTGGTCTATGTATCATGAAAATTTGTAAACAATGTAAAGGGCAGCTTTAAATTATGTTAAAAGATAAAAAATAAAATAGAAATACGAGGTTTTGTCCCAACAGCAACTATTTATGTACACACACACACACACACAAATATATATATATACATATACATGTGTGTGTGTGTACTTATATAGAATATTAGAGATCAGTGTTACCTTCTTTCCTGCGTGCTGCAGGGCGAGTGCGAGTTCTGTAGTGATGGTGCTCTTACCCACTCCTCCTTTACCAGACAGAACCAGCACCACATGCTGAACCCCCCTCAGGTTACCTTCATCTGAGAGAGAGAGACACAGAGAGAGACACAGAGAGAGACACAGAGAGAGAGAAAGAGAGATGAAGAAACAGAGAAAAGGGACTCTAATTACAAGTCTACTGTGAGTGAACTGTACACTGTGTAGCTCCTCAAGCACTGCTGGAGTTTTTAAACACTGTGTCCACTCACTGTCCACTCTATTAGACACTCCTACCTTGTCAGTCCACCTTGTAGATGTAAAGTCAGAGACGATAGCTCATCTGCTGCTGCACAGTTTGTGTTGGTCATCCTCTAGTCCTTCATCAGTGGTCACAGGACGCTGCCCACAGGACACTGTTGGCTGGATATTTTTGGTTGGTGGACTATTCTCAGTCCAGCAGCGACACTGAGGTGTTTAAAACCTCCAGCAGCACTGCTGTGTCTGATCCACTCGTACCAGCACAACACACACTAACACACCACCACCACATCAGTGTTACTGCAGTGCTGAGAATGATCCACCACCCAAATAGTACCTGCTCTGTGAGGGTCCATGGGGGTCCTGACCACTGAAGAACAGGGTAAAAGGGGGCTAACAAAGTATCAGAGAAACAGATGGACTACAGTCTGTAACTGTAGAACTACAAAGTGGAACTATGTGGTCAGTGGAGCTGATAAAGTGGACAGTGAGTGGAGATACCAGGGGGTGGACCGGTCAGTGTGTTTAATAGCTGCTGTGGTAAACAGCGTGATTTCACACTCTGACACTTTCACACCAGCAAACAGCAAACATTCTCTCCTTCCCTCTGTACTCTTTCGTTCTCTCATTCTCTCTCTGTACTTTTTCTCTCTCTGTACTCTCTACCTCCCTCTCTCTTTCTGTACTGTACTGTCTCTAAGTCTCTCTCTCTTTCTCTCCACCCTCCCTGTATCTTTCTATCTGTACACTCCTTCTTTCTCTCTCTATCTCTCTGTACTCTCCTTCATTCTCTCCCTCTCTCTTTCTGTACTGTTCTGTCTCTATGTCTCTCTCTCTCTGTCTCTCTCTCTCTCACCACCCTCTGTATTTTTCTATCTGTACATTCCTCTATTATCTTCTCTTTCTCTCTGTACTCTCTATCTCCCTCTCTCTTTCTGTACTGTACTATCTCTCTCTCTCTCTCTCTCTCTCTCTCTCTCTCTCTCTGTGTGTGTGTCTCTCTCTCTCTCTGTACTGTACTGCCCCCCCCCTTATTAAGCCCGATATTAAACTCCTCCTGCTGATATAAACACCGTGTCTGCTGTATCTGAGTCCCGCAGCTCTATAGTAACATAGCATTTATAACATATTATAACACATTAATGTATTTATTAATATAAGAACTCCACAAACTCTTCCTACCTCCGCTCACCTCCATAGCGGCCGACATGGCGCGACCAAATGACGTCACGAAGACAAAACGGCCAATGAGATTAGTGGACGCGTTCACTGTCCCCGCCTCCGGACCAATCACCTCTCAGCTCGACTCTCATTGGCTGCTCTCTGCTGCTGCCCCCTGCTGTTCAGCGGCGGAACTGCAGCAGGCCAGTATATCAGAAACATAAACAGATCACAGCGGTTTTTATTCGCACAACAAGATCCAGGAGCGAGTTTTGGGTCCAGATATCAACAAAACCTGCTCTAAAAACAGTACAGAGGAGAAAAAGGTGCTTAAACCACCAAATCTATGGCTGAGTGATCCTCTTTATACACATATTAAAACATATGTTAGTGAAATATACGTGATATATTTAAATATATTTAAATATACCGTTTTTGAATATTTAAATATATGCCAATATATTAACATATGTGTGAATGTATTAAATACACTATAAATATGCGGACACCCCTAATTACTGAGTTCAGGTATATGAACTCAATCACACAGCCCTGCAGTCTCCATAGACAAACACTGGCAGTAGAGTGTCGCACTGAAGAGCTCAGTGACCTTAAACATGGCTCTGTCGTAGGCAGTGGTGGACGAAGTACACAAACCATGTACTTGTGTTAAAGTAGAGATACCCAAGGTAAAATATCACTGCAGTAAAAGTAGAAGTTCCTCCCTTTAGACCTCCACTTGAGTAAAAGTACAAAAGTATTTGCCTTCAAATGTACTTAAGTATCGAAAGTAAAAGTACTAAAAGATTAATTATGGCTCTGATGTCCTATTATCATTTTTGTAACAAGACTCGCTTCATTAACTCATTTTAGGTGAAAATACTCCAGTGTCTCTCTTGGTAAACCAGTCTTTTAATAGAATGTCATTAATTAGTGACGCTGATGTCTATTAAAATTATCATAAGCACAAAACACTGAAGGCAAACAGTTTCCATCAGGTAGAACTGAGTGGCTCTGAAATCACTTTATACAAACAAGCAAAGTTTCAGTTTAAGATTTATTTGCAAGTTTAAGTTTAATAAAAACTTTCCTTTACTAAACTGCATCTGTAGGTCTCTGTTCATAAACATAAACTAGACAAAACTAATTTACTATAAAATGAAATCGTGTTTGTATAAATTCAGAATAAAGACGCGTCAGTCTCAACTGCATATGAGTACATATTTCTATATTGTGGTCTATTTACACAAAGTTAGGTTAGTTCATCATTTATGTTGAATAGACTCTCACAAAATTTTACACTGCTGCACTGACGTTGAACCGCGTGCTGCACTGGGTCGGTATGACCAACAGGTCAAAACAAGCTCAAAACAAAGTGACCGCTGTGCCCTGATTGGTGTTCTTGCTTTGCGCTTCCTTCGTTTTGTTATGTTTTTATGCACACATAAACCAAAAGGAACGACAGATTTCTCATAATGTAGTGGAGTAAAAAGTGAGATATTTGACTTTGAAATGTAGTGGAGTGAAAGTAAAAAGTCGCCCAAAATGGAAAAACTTCAGTAAAGTACAGATACAGAAAAAACTACTTAAGTACAGCAACGAACTTCATCAGGCCTTCATCAGATATTAGCACTTTTTCTGAGTTAAAAACATGACACACATCTTAACAACCAGCATAAATACAGACATATTGATTTTATCCCCTCTGTGGTCTGAGGTCATTCTCTCTCCATGTGTTCATCTCTTCTTAAACTCTCCCTTTAAAGGCTCTTCATATATCATGATCCTCATATGTTTCATATCTAAATGCTCCGTTATCTTCATCACTACTTTCCAAAACCGCTGCAGCAGCTTCAGCACCTGTAAACTCTCTGCACGCCGTTTCACATGAGTCTCCGATGTGGACTGAATGAAGAATGAAGGGTTTCCGGCGTGATGGTCAGTCCTTAGTGATTTCCTGAGTGTCCATTGGTCAGTTTCACACAGAATGTAGATGGACACACGAATCCACCAGCTCCACACGGTGAGAGGCAGATGACGTGTATCTCAGCCCCTCTTCATAGGCTCATAACTCCGGATTCAAACCTCAGAGACATGACTCGGACTCAGACTCTCACCTCACAGACTCGAGTCTTGACTCGGACTTGAACCTCAGAGACTCGAGACTCGACTCGGACTTGAACCTCAGAGACTCGAGACTCAACTTGGACTCTCACCTCAGAGACTCGAGACTCGACTCAGACTCACCTCAGAGACTCGAGACTCGACTTGGACTCTCACCTCAGAGACTCAAGACTCGACTCAGACTCACCTCAGAGACTCGAGACTCGACTCAGCCTCTCACCTCAGAGACTCGAGACTTGACTTAGACTCTCACCTCAGAGACTTAAGTGTCAACTTGGACTTGAACCTCAGAGACTCGAGACTCAACTTGGACTTGAACCTCAGAGATTCGAGACTCAGCTTGGACTCTCACCTCAGAGGCTCGAGACTTGACACGGACTCTCACCTCAGAGGCTCAACTCAGACAGTCAACTCAGGGACTCCAGAATCAACTCGGACTCGAACCTCAGCGACTCGAGACTCAACTGAGATTCTTACCTCAGAGACTAAACTCGGACACTCACCTCAGAAACTCGAGACCCAACAGAGATTCTGACCTCTGAGACTCCAGTCTGGACTCAGACTCGAACCTCAGAGACTCGAGACTCAACTCGGAATCATACCTCAGAGACTCGAGAGTCGACTGGAACTCTCACCTCAGTTTCACACAGAATGTAGACGGACACACAAATCCACCAGCTCCACACGGTGAGAGGCAGATGACGTGTATCTCAGCCCCTCTTCATAGGCTCATAACTCCGGATGTGAGTCTCGTATGATCTCGTGATAAGATGGAATGGAAAGGGCGACTCTACAGATTCAGGAGGTGTTTGAACTGGATTTCTGCGCAGTCCATAAATGGAAACTGTAGCCTGTTTTGAATTCAGGTTTTTGTGATGTCACAAAAACCAACACATCCTGCTATTCAGCCTCAGTGTGCTTTCTGAATGAGGCACAGCCAATCAGACTAGAGCTCATTTACATTTATCAGTCTTAAAGGCAGAGTCACTAAAACAGTCCAATTCTGCACTCTTAAAAAAGAAGGTTCTTGAAGGGTTCCTTTGTAAAGTCAGTGGTTCTGTTTAGAACCATGAACACTCAAAGAACCCTTTGCATGCTTAAATAGTTCTTTGCATGGTGGAATGGTTCTTCAGATTGATGGAGAATGTGCTGTATTTTTGAAATGGTTCTATATAGCACCAAAAACCGTTCTGCTTTTGATAACAGCATGCAAATAGTTCTTTGAGTGTTCATGGTTCTAAATAGAACCACTGTCTTTACTAAAGAACCCTTGAAGAACCATCTTTTTGAAGAGGGTAATGGATAAATAGAGGTTAGAAAATAATTATGTAAACTGAATTATGACTGTTTTTGGTACATGAAACCACTCAAATGTGTAAAAGTGTGGTTTTGTGTAGAAATTCGACCTCAGAGGAAAAAATAAAATGAAAGAAAAATGTAAATACAGGCAGTTTAAGTGAGTTCCTCCTCTTATAAAGACACTGTAGGGATTATGACTCATTTATTTTGGTTTACTGCCTGTTGTTTACCTGTTTACTGCTGCTTCAACACCACATGATTGCGGTGTGTAATCTGACCGCCACCTCCAGCTCTTCACGTGCAGCGGTCACTCCAGTCTGCTGTGCAGTTTCAGCACTGAGATGATGAAACCAGAGTGCAGCAGTGCTGCTGTTAAATATAGGCCAGTCCTGCACCTGCAGTCCTCTCTCCACTCCACATTTCAGTGCTTTTCTGCTCGATGGCCTCTGTTTAACTCTTAGACATCTACTGTCATTTCACAATACCATATAAATATAATGATAAAATTACATTTTTCGTGATATACAATTACATGTGATTTACATTCTGTAGGTCAGGTGTATTTTTTTGACTTGAAATAAAAAAATGACAAAAATATTTTTTCTTTCTGCAAAACAAGACACAACAACCTCATCACATTCAAACCATAATAAAATATTTGCTGTTCAAAAACTAATGTGATACAGATTGTATGGACTGAAACTTTAGTGCCCTACGCACAATTTCTCCACTGTTTCTATGAACAACGAGTCAGAAATAATTCATATTTTACAGTATGACTCTGTTTTTGCTAACAAAAGTTCTAACTCAGTTAACAAAATTTGTCTGGCCCACTTGTGTTGCACATCTTTGTGTTTGTTGTCCAGTATACAGCTGGGTCCTCGGCCCAGATCTGGTCCACACACTATAAAGTGAGTAGAACTAATGAATGTGGCCCAAATCTGGCCCAACTGCATTATTGGTCCAAAACATTCACACCAAAATTGGTCCACAAATAAAGACACAAGGCAAAGTCATATGAAGCTGCCTGGCATCTGGCCCAATTTTGGCCCGTATACCTAACATCTGCCCGGTTATCCACCAGCGCTCAGGTAGGAAAGCCGGAATCGGCCCAAAACTGTCTGCTGTTTGAGAAGTGTTAAACTCATGACGGGTTTGGTAAGAGCCGGTAGTTTAGTACTTTTACAGCAGAAAATAGACTAAAATAACGTAGCGTCTTGGTGAAGAAGGAGACACGGCAAAGCCATGATTTCTGTTACGTCACAGTCCACCGCAAGGCTTTGCCTTACTTGCCACCCGCCTTGAAGTTCTTCCACTGCCTGCTGCAGTGAGGCGCTACCCCACTTCTGACACCAAATGTAGCATCTTAGCGAAGAAAGAGACACAGCAGAGGCCAGAATTTCTGCTACGAGAAGTGCTGTTCATCCAGACCAGCAGAGAAGGCCCATACAAAACAGTCCACTCTGCACTCGGCCCAAAGTCCGCAACTAACTCCAGTCCTCCCTGCCAGCTTCCATTTCCCCGCTGGCTCAGGTTTGCGGCATTGTCTGGCACGGTGTCCCTTCTTCCAGCAGTGCCAGCACACCAGGCACACAAACGCTGGCTCTCGCTCAGAGGCCGGCATGGCATGCCTGTTCCCTTGCCGCAAAAAGCTGTGCTGCTCGCCGCGGTGCTTCAACAGCTTCCCTTTTGCCAGCTTCTCTCTCCGCTCTGCCGAGCCTCACCGCACTGCTTCCACCACCGAGCCTCGCTACACTGCTTCTGCTGTTGAGTCTCGCCACGCTCTCTTCGCCACAGAGCCTCGCTAGAAAAACATGAATTCATTCATTCTTCTTCAAAACCCCTTGTCCGCCTGGGTCACAGGGGGAGCTGGAGTCTATCCCAGAGCTAATAGGGTGGAAGGCAGGAAACACCATGGACAGGTCGCCAGTCCATCGCAGGGCAGACAAAAAGGCATATACAACCACACACACTGAAGCTCAGGGGCAATTTAGCGTGTCTTTGGACTGTGGGAGGAAACCGGAGAACCCAGAGGAAACCCACACAGACACGGGGAGAACAGGCAAACTCCACACAGAGAGGACCCTGGCTTCCCGGCCAGGGAATCGAACCCTGACCCTTCTTGCTGTGAGGCGACAGCGCTGCACAAAAAACAAATGTCTCCAAAATGGCAATTTTACAGAAGAAGGCAAAACCATTACCTTTAATGTTAATGTAAATTTGGTTTCAAGCATTTTTGGAGCATTTCTGTTGGTCCATTCATCATGAAATGTCCACTCAATGTAAAGGGCAGCTGCTGAGCTCAGATTCTGTCAAAAAATTCTTATTGTTTTGATTATAGATTAGATTTTTGTATTTGGAGTCAAATAAAATGGTAAAATGGTTAAAAAAGAACAAATTGTTCATAGACATCAAATCACAAGGTACTAAACTGTCTCTTCTCACTGGGGTGGTTCCTTCAAGGCTCCATCTCAGTACCTTTAGTCAGGGAACATAACTGAACCATAATCCACTGAAATGATATGTTCTAAGCTGTACTGACTCCACACACCCCGTCTCGTCTCCAGGACTTTATTTTACTGTTCTGTTTAAAACATTCGGTTATGAAAAGGTACAAATACGAACTTTTCACCTGGAAAAACTTATTTAAGGTTCACAATCAGACCTTAAAACCACTGTTGGAGCTTTGAGGGAACATTTACACTGTTTGTACCTTGATGAACGAGAAATGTACCTGAACAGAACCTTTATTTATAACAGTGTAGTGAGAGATGGGATTAGAGCCATTTGGTCCATGTTGTCTTCACGTTTGAGGGGGACGGAGAGAAGATCGCTCTGGTTTTGTGTCACAAAGTCACAGCGAGACTGGCTGAGCTACAGCCGAGTTAATCTGACCTGATCCACGGCTAATGAGGCAAGCAGACGCAACCTGCTCTCATTCATACCCTCTCTCTCTCTCTTTCTCTCTCTCTCTCTCTCTCTCTCTCAGATGTAGGTCAGTGGAGAGATCTGAGTCACTGTGATCCAGTCTGGAAGGAACAGCGTGAGTGACTGCAGCAAGGAAAACACCAGGAGAATAAAACAGGTGAGTTTATTTCATACTGAGTAGAGAAGCTCTGTCTTTAGTGCAGCGGTGGGTACATTTACTTAGGTACATATACTTAAGTACTCATTACGATGGATTTCTGAGCTTTTTAAAATGCTGATAGTTTGACTTCTGCTCAGATACACTAGAGGCCAAAGATGCACTGCAGACAAAAGAGCTGAGCCAACAGAAAGCAGCACTGACTCAGTAAAATAAATGAATAATATAAGTAAACTAGATGTTATTCATGCGTTTAAACTTGGACATCTCTGCTTGTGTCTCTCCTTTTTGGATATGTGTAGAAAAAGTGATCTACTTTTTCCTCAGTTCCACTTTTTCATTACTATTTAGGGCCTAATTCTGTTTTCTGGGTTTAATGTGGTTCTGCTGTGCTGGTTCAGCTCCTGTTCTGCTATACTGCTGATATCACTCTCAGTGTGGAGCTTCAGCATTTCTTTAGACCAAAAAGAGAAGATTAGAGTCTAACAAACTACAGGTCCTGTGCTGAGAGATGCTGGATGGGCTGCACTGCAGTTCTATAGGGGAACTATTGCTACTACATGTACTTGAGTTGCTTTGTTAGCAGTACTTTTAACTGAGCATGGGTTTAAGCGCAGGGGTCAGCAACACACGTCTCCGGAGCCGCATGCGCCTCTTTTACTGCCCTGTTGTGGCTCCACAGTAGAATTAGATTTGTAGGTAAAAATAAAACTGATTATTTGGAGACAAAGGGAATTATTTGTGTTTATAATCACTCCAGCTGGTTTCCTGATACATTTAATCTGCAGTAAACTCTAAAGTCGCAAAGCTGAAGTTTCTAATTCACCAGCTTCTAGTTCAAATGTTCACGTTCCACCTTAAATGGTGCAGCAGTTACATTCTGGCGACTCAGGCACCATTTAAGGTGGAACGGGAAAATTCAAACAAGAAGCTGGCAAATGAGAAGCGACCTCAGCCTCGTAAAAAGTCAAACGCTGAGAGACATTTTACAAGAAACTGTTCTACTTTTGTGGAAAAGTTTCCTGCTGGAGATGCGAGAAAAGCAGCTATAACTGAGCTAAAGCCTAAAGCAGAGTAAAGTAAGTCTGCATTTTTGTTTATATTATACTTTTTATCCTATACTCATACATTAGCACATACTGAGACAAATTTACAGCCGAGATGGTCAAACGTTACTTCAGTAAAATGGATGAAATGTTGTGGCTCCTGAGGTTGATGGATTTTTTTTGAAACTTGACAAAATGGCTCTTCTTAACATTTGGGTTGCGACCCTGGTTTAGGCTGTATGTGTCTTGTCCCATGTTTTCAGTAGTTACAGGGTTTTTTTTGGCACCAAAGGCTGGTGGGAAACACGGTTGTGAGAATTAAGACCAGAGGTCATAAAAACAAGCACTTTAAGGAGCAGTGAAACAGTGTCTATCTGTGTATCACGCTAACATGACAGGCTGTTGAACTGCGTCTGAATCAGCTGCTACTCAGCTTCCACGAGTTAGTCTGTTTCCCTGCAGCGTGTTTTCAAGAGCTAAAGCGCATCTACAGCTTTTTGTGCTTAGATGAAAAAACTCACGCAAAGCTGCTGCAATAATAACAAGAGAGCACTAATCACACTGTAACCATAACAACACTGCACTATCGCACAGTAGCCATAACAACACATTTCAACCACATCACATTTCAACCATAACAATGGAGTAGTGATGTACAATAAACATAAGAATGGAGCACTGTTACACTGTAACCATAACAGTGAGCCAATATCACTCCATAACTATAACAAGGGACTATTGATGTGATGTAGCTCTATAACAACCACAACAACCCACCACTGTACCTGTAACAGGCTGCCACTGTACTGTATCACAATATGATAAAAACAAACCACTATCACATCATCACTATAACATACTACTGTCACACGTAACTATAACAACATGTAACTATCACATCAAAACAACAGACAACTATCACACTGTAACTATAACAACAAATATCACAACTGTAACAACAGACCAACATTGCATCATAATTATTATCACATCATAACTATAACAACAGACAAATATTGCAATATAACTATAATATACCACTATCACTCTATAACTATAACAAAAACTATCACATCATAACTATAACAACATACCACTATCACACCATATTTATAACCACAGACCAAAATCACACCACAACTATAACAACAGACAACTACCATACCCTGACTATAACAACAGACCACTATAACACCCTGACTATAACAACAGACAACTATGACACCATGATTGTAACAACAGACCAATATCACATCACCATTATTACAACGGACAACTATCATACCATAACTATAACAACAGACCAGTGTCACACTACAACTATAACAGACCAATATCACACCATAACTATAACAGACAACTATCCTACCATGACTATAAACGACCATTGTCACTCCATAAATATAACAACAGACCACTGTCACACCATAACTATAATAACAGACGCCTATCACACCATAACTATAACAACAGACCACTATCACATCATAACTATAACAGAAAATAGTACATCATAACTACAACAACGGACAACTACCACACTGTGACTCTAACAACAAACCGGTATCAAACCATAACTATAACAATGGACAATAATCACATAGTGACTATAACAAGGAATCACTTTGTGCAGTAACCATAACAACCGAACAAAATTGCAATGTAACCATTACAGAACACCGCTAACGTAGAGTAAATATATCAATAGGCCACTGTCACACCATAACTATAACAACGGACCAAACTGGCTCTGTAACCATAACAACAGACCACCATCACAGCAAATGCATCATAACAAAAAACTGTCTCACTGCAACCATAACAACAGATCACCACTTCATCATTAGCCTAACAAGGTGATGGCTGTATGGAAAACATATTGGAACACTGTCACAGTGTAACCATAACAGCAGAGCTCTGTCCAACAAAGCAGTCGAGATCAGACACATCATAACAGTATATGATGAACTTTAATCTACCAACATGTCATGTCGCTGTTTATAGTTATTTACTAATAAGACTTTTACTACATCTTGAGTGTTGTTGCTATGGGAAACCGAGCCTTTTCCTCTCATTCTGACTGGCTAGCTGATTCTGTGCTTCTGTTTCTGCCTGAAAGCAGAAGATTTCCAAAGAGCTCCATAGAAAATCGTTACATTACGCAGTAAAGGTCTGAAATGTCTCCCTCGCGCTGTGTGCGTGTTTGAGCTGTGATGATTCTATGAATATCCTGCTGCCTTTCGGCTCATGAACACGAGCAGGTGTTTATCCGGAGGCTCGTGAGGCCGTTCCTGTAACCCAACTCCAGAGTGTTTACTGAGCCGGTGCTGTTGCTCCACAGTCTGAGTGTGTATGTGTTTCTAACTGCAGTGTTTACTGGGTTAAACTGCTTTAACGTGCAGGTTTATCTGACTGCTCTCCGTTGTTTGACTGCCTCTGTCCTCCGCCAGGATGAATACAGCGCCACAACTCGGCCACTTTGTGCTGCATTGAAATTTTTTAAACAACGTTCACATTACAAGCCTCGTTGCTCAAATCTGATTTTTTGCTCAAATCCGATCTCTCTGACACAATGGTTCACACTCGTTTAGGTCAGTGACTCAAATCTGTCATTAATGTGACGAACCGGCGTCCTGAAATGACCCTCATGAGCTCATCCTGCTCAGTAACGTCACGTGAATGAATCACGTTCATCTTCAGCACAAACTAACGAGCAGAACGAGCTTCGCTGAGAAGATCATTAACTCTGATCAGCTCTCAGCTTAATTATTAGATCGAGACGAAGGAGAAAAAGGTGAGATGAGCTGCTTTTCCACCGTTTACAGGCTTTAGCTTCTGTTCGGCGCTGCTGCCATGGTAACGCGCAGTGGAAAAAAGCACATGAATTCTGATCTGAGCATCACATTAAGGTCGCATGGCCACAAATCGGATACATGTCCGATCTAGGACCACATATGAAAGAGACTCAGGTTGGATTTGAAAAGATCAGATTTGTGTCCACACAGCTCTGAAAACATCAGATCTGAGTCACATTAGGGCAGAAAATCAGATTCAGCCTGGAAATGTGAACGTAGCCTTAGCTGTACCCGATTTCGTCGTCTGACTTCGAGGGTCGCTCATGTGGTGCCTTCTTGTGGGAAACTCCAGAGCAGATCTGTCACAATTACTGCATAATCGCCAACTTGCAGCTGATTGAGGCAGTTATTTTAGCTGATTGCGGTCATTTTCCCCAGTCGTCAGTTTCCACAGGCGCATTATTCTGCAACATATATGATGTAAATTGGGTGTTTGTTTGAGGTAAATAAATACAAATAAATAAATAAAATAAAGCAGTGAATGCATTTACTGAGGCATCATGGGGCTTCTGATAAAAACAAAACTAGTTTTAACATCTAACTTGGTGCTCAAACACATTAAGAGCTAATTCTAACATTTAGCTAATGCTAATGTTTTTAGCATGTATGCTAGCAGAGTGAGAGGTTTTTTTGCTTGTATTTTCTACCAGCGGTAGCTGCTAAGTAGGAGTGAGCGCTGGCACAACCTGACACATTTAGGTTTTGTTCAATAACTTTAAAAATATTTAAGTTGGAATAATCATGTTTATATATAAGCAACATAAACATCTCTGCTACTAATGAACATTCGAACTTTGTTTCTGGCTCCTACCGTTCAGTACAACTCCACCCAAAATGAGGGAAGTGCAGTGTTCCAGTTCAGCCCATGGGGGGGGGGTTCACTGTAACTGACAGAGGGTCAGTTAAACACCTGCTAGAAAAATCTGATCAATCAGTGCAAACAGAGTTAATTCAGTTTAATTCTAAGTTGTAAGAAATATATTTTTCATCTGTGCTGCATTATATATTATCATCTACAAGACAGACAGACAGATCAACAGACGGACACACATCAGATTATACATGAACACTGACTGAGACTGTGAGTCAAACAATGACCAGTAAATAAAAACATCACACATCAGTGAAATATGAACATTGTTTCTGAATAACTGCAGCTTTACCAGCTGATATTGTCTTCATTAATATACACACTTAAAACAGGGTTCTTTAGTAAAGAAAATGGTTCTATATAGAACCATGAACACTCAAAGAACCCTTTTTTGGTGCTACATAGAACCATTTTCTTTACTAAAGGACCCTTGAGGAACCATCACCAAACACATCTGAGAGATGCTAATAAAGAAGGAAATCCCTGTTTTCAGATGTTTCTCTTTTTCATGTCAGCTGCTTTAAACGGTGCTGCGCTGTAGAAACTGATTACAGTAATATAAGGTTGGATTTTGTGATTTTACACAAACAGCTCAGCAACTGAGAACACTTGAAAAAAAGGATTTATATGCCCTGAAAACACTCTTTGGCTCAGGTCTCTTTAAAACGCTGACCAATAGCTCTGAATTTTTACTGAACTGAGAAAATCTGCCTTTAGTTACAGAGCAGCTGCTCACTGGACCTCAATAAAGTTTAAAGACCTAAATAAAGGGTTTAAACTCGCTAACCACCTCCACTCTGCCTGCAGCTGTTTTACCAGATTTTCACTATCAACTTTCACATTTTAATTGTTTTATATTTTCTCCAGTTTTTTATGTATTTTCTTATTAATGTTTCTTTTTTTATGCTTACCCGATTGGAGTCCTTATTAAATTTACTTTTCTTATTTGATGTGTTCTTAACATTATCACTCCCTTTTCCTGTATCAACTCGGCAACTTTGTAAATGAGGGTCACCCTCAATGTTCTCTGAGGTTAAATAAAGGTTGATTGATTGATTAACTGACTGAATTTTGGTGGGAGGCCGTGGCGAGGAGATGATGAGGTGATGTGGCCAGAAGCTCAGCTGCTTGATCTTCTATAACAATGTACAAAGTCGGTGTTAAATTGCGCCCGTGTTAGGTGGTTCTCTGCGCTCTCCTACACATGGATTTTAATATTTTACACTAACGTTAAAACCTTATTCTCGGTTCATGATCCTCGTGATACTGTTTACTGTGTGGTCCAGAGGAGGATGGTTCCCCTTCTGAGTCTTGGTTCCTCTCAAGGTTTCTTCCTGTTGCTATTAGGGAGTTTTTTCCTGCCACTGCAAATAACGACCAACAAATTAAATCATTAATTGCAATGATTTAAATAATAATTAACTGGCAGTTGTAGTCTGATGATGGTGATGGTCTTCACTGCAGCGTGTTTACTGAGACGGTGCTGCTGCTTCACACTGTGTGTATGTACAGTTCCAGGTCTGGTGTGTTTACAGAGTTGGAGCTGTTGCTCAACAGTTTGAGTGTGAGTGTCCAACATGTCACTAAACAGGACAGGCCGAGTCACCCCCCCACCCCCTCCCACCCCCATCGGCTGGGGTTTGTAGGTTGTACGGCTGCTGCGGTATTCAGGACAGGGATCCACTTAATTGGCCTCTAATTGGCTCTCGTGTCTGTCGCCATACCAGCTGCACACAGAACCAGTTCAGAGAAGAGCAGCTGCTCCTAAACAGAGCTAGACAGCTATATATATATATATATATATATATATATATATATATATATATATATATGTGTGTGTGTGTGTGTGTGTGTGTAAAACAAAGGTTTTTATATGTATTTAAAATGATACTGATGCAATATACAGGGTTCAATTTGTGAATAGAGTTAATTTTAGGCTTTGAAACTCTTTTGCTTCTTTTGGTGTTTCTGATGTACTCTCTTTAAAAAGATAGTTCTTCAAGGGTTCTTTAGTAAAGCAAATGGTTCTATATAGAACCATGAACACTCAAAGAACCCTGTGCAAGATGCATGGTGCATGGTGAAAAGAATGTGTTGTATTACAATGTCAAGCTTGTAACAATAGAAGAACCCTTTTTGGTGCTATATAGAACCACATACAACACATTTTGGAACCCAAAAGCACATTTAAATACAGCCAACCCAAATAATAAGAGCTGCTGAATGTTTTCAAATATTATTATATATTTAATACTCTAGTTAAAGCCTGGATAGGTTGAGGTTTTGTGTGTCCATAGTCCGTACTGACATGTTCTTCCAAGCCACTGGAGTTCCTCCACACCAAACTGGTCACTCCATGTCTTTATGGAGCTGCTGTGTGCTGCAGCATCAACATCACCCTTCACTGGAACTGAGAGCCCAAACCCTGATAAACAGCCCTACCCATCATCCCTCCTCCACCACACTGTACTGTTGGCTCTGCATTCCGGTGGGTAATGTTCTCCTGGCATCCACCAAACCCAGATTCATCATCAGACTGACAGATAGAGAAGCTGATTCATCACTCAGAGAACACGTTCCACTGCTCCAGAGTCCAGCGGCAGCACTTGACACCCCTCCAGGCTTGGCATTGTGCATAGTGATCTTAGGCTTGTGTGCAGCTGCTCAGCCATGGAGACCCATTTCATGAAGCTCCTGATGTGCAGTTCTTGTGCTGATGTTGCTTCCAGAGGCAGTTTGGGGCTCTGTAGTGAGTGAATCAACAGAGGACAGGTGATTTTTACATGCTTCAGCCTCGGTGGCCCCACTCTGTGAGTTTGCGTGGTCTACTGGTTAATAGCGGATCATTTCACAATAACAGCACTTACAGTTGTCTGGGCAGATGTAGCAGGGCAGAAATTTCAGACTGACTTTAATATGCTTTACTCTTTTCTTTCAGTGATGTCTCGGGAAAGTCCGAGTGGCTGGAGTGTGTGGGATGGGAGCAGGGAGGCCATTCCTGCTGTGACGACCCTTGACCCAGAGGAGCGAGGGGTGCAGGTAGGACGGGTATGCCTGTGTGTATATTTGTAAAAAGTGGGTGTTTAATGTAATAGTTCAACCAAAAATGAAAAATCCCGCTTACTGCAAATTTAGCTCAGCTAGGACGTGCTGGTCCGGTTGGCAATGCTGTGCTGCTCCCAGACTGGACTCAGCTAGGCAGCGAAATCACAAATTTCCCCTGTGCACCTTTAAAAAAGATGGTTCTTTAGTAAAAACATTGGGCCTCGTTCACCAACTGTTCTTAAGTGAAATCTCCTCTTAAACCCACTTACACTCTGCTCACGAAGATTCTGACTCACCAACGTTCTCTTATTTGGGATTTACACACACTCAAGAGCACAAAGAGAACAGAGAGCACGTGTGAACTTAAGACCTTTCTGAGGAACAAATTTGAGAAAAGCTTTTAGGATATTGGTGAATGAGGCCCAATCATTCTATACAGAACCATGAACACTCAGAGAACACTTTGCATGCTTAAATGGTTCTTTGCAGAGTGAAATTGTTCTTCAGATTGATGGAGAATGTGCTGTACATGGTTCTATACTGAACATTTTTGAAAATGGTTCTATACAGCCCCAAAAAGCGTTCTGCTATTGTTATGATATGATGTCAAGCTTGTAACAATAGCAGAATGCTTTTTGGTGCTAAATAGAACCACATACATGTTCTCCATCAATCCGAGAAACCATTTCACCATACAGAGAACCATTTAAGTTTGCAGAGGGTTCTCTGAGTGTTCATGGCTCTATATAGAAGCATTTTCTTTATTAAAGTGTTGAAGGACCATCTTTTTAAAAATGTAGGATCAATGAAGTGCAGAACATTTTGTGCGCTAAGAAAACTAAATGCAGCAAATAGAAACGGTAAAAACCTTTTTTTTTCAATGGAATCATCTGTGTGGCAAATCAGGAAGATGTGAGTCTGTTCAGGACCGAAATGATGCTGCATTAGATGAAAAACAGCAGATAATTCACACCCACACAGCTGATCTGGGTGGAAATAAAGTCACAGAGTGGCAGCTGTTAAAATGGGAACGACCCCAGAACCCCAATAATTTATCAGCTTATGGTGTGTGTGTGTGTGTGTGTGTGTGTGTGTGTGTGTGTGTGTGTGTGTGTGTGCAGTCGGACTCTGAGGAGTACCAGCCCGTGACGGAGTGTGTTCCCGCTGAAACGCCTCTGGTGGTTCCTGTAACCGGAGAGTCGTTCTGTCAGTGTCCGACACAAACTGACCTGAGCTCTCAAACACAGCTGGACATGTACGCACATGAGTGCACCTGCGGAGAGGACGAGTCAGGTAAACTCTGAACGAGTGTTTTTAAACAGCAGCGGCCACAGTGTGAAAATGTAACTGTAAATATAATCACATATAAAGGGGTCTTTTTTACAAGCTTGGTTTTATCAGGTTTAACCAGGATATGATGAATCACTGACAACGATGAAGGTAACTCAATATAGAGAAAGAAAAGAGAAAGAAAAAAGTGGGAGAGAATAAATAAACATATTGTCGCTGTCCGAAGAAAAACAGGTCTCTCTAGAACAGTAACTTTACAGGGGAGGGCAAAAACACTCTCACCTTTCAATGTAAGTTAATGTAAAGAGGTTTTATTCCCAGTGATTTTAGAGCATTTCTATTGGTCCATTCATCATGAAATTCTCACACAACATAAAGGACAGCTGGTGAGTTGAAATGATGTAGAAAAATAAAAATCAACAAAAATGGAGATGCATGGTTTTCTTTGGACAGCGACGATATGATGAATCACTGGCAATGATGAAGATAACAGAGATACAGAAAAATCAATAAAAAGAAAAGAGAAAAAAGTGGGTGAGAATAAATAAAAAATAAACATATCGTCGCTGTCCAAAGGAAAACAAGTATCTCCAAAACAGTAACTTTACAGGAGAAGGCAAAAGGTTTCTTTGCTTTCAATGTCGGTCAATGAAAAGGGTTTTTATTCTAAGCAGTTTTGGAGCATTTCTATTGGTCCAATCGTCATGAAAAATGAATACACAATGTAAAAGACAGCTGCTGAGTAAAATCACAAAAAAATGGAGATACAGGTTTTTCATTGGACACTGATGATATATATGTATATACATTCACATAAATGTGCACATACAGCAAAAGATACATCAGTATCAGTTAATGCAGTGTAATGCTGTAATAGTGTAATAATGCCTCCCAAATTTTCTGGAAAGCACTTTCTCAACTGGACAAACCCGAGTCAGAATATGTGGAAAACTGGTTTTATTAACATGCTGAGATCAGGATCCACAGATCCACAGATTGTGATGGTCCACAGATTCCAGAGAATGTATCAGATGATCCTTTATAGGCCATCTATTTTTTTTCCAATCTCAAAAAATAAAGTATATATGATGAAGAATAGCCATAATAAAACGCGTCTGGGTGGGAGGAGTCACCTGGATCAGACATCTAGCTAGAAGTGAAACAAAAGCTCTAACATGTGGAGAGAGAGGGGGGTGACTCCAAACATTACAATAAACGCATTAGGTTCATTGTTTTCACCAGTAATGTCAGAAATAGTGTTAAGGGTCTCTGTCCAGTCATCATGTAAGGATGGACAAAGCCAAACCGTGTGTGTAAGACTGGTAGGAGGCTAATTATATCTATCACATTCTGGTAAAACACAATATTATGGTTTCTGATTCATGTCTTGTAGTTCTGGCCCAAATAATTGTAATTCTGGAGTTAGTTTGTTACATTATTTGGTATCTATTTATTATTCAAAAACTTTGCCTTTAAAGCCACACATTTTTAGAGCTCATATCCTGCATTTTTTCCGTTGATGTCCACTTATAGCATTTGTGTTTGTTTATGTACCAAAGACTGTCATAATTCCTTTGCTTTTTTGAATTTCTCTGGGATGAACTTGAGTGATAAAGGTCCATTGAGCACCTTTGAGATAGTTGGGGTTGATAGACCTTCAATAAACACCTTTGGGATGAGCTGAGCCAGGGAAGCTGCACTGAACACCTTAGGGATGCGTTGGGCTGATAAAGCTCCAATGAACACCTTTGAGATGAGTTGGGCCAATAAAGCTCCAATGAACACCTTTGAGATGAGTTGGGCCGATAAAGCTCCAGTGAACACCTTTGAGATGAATTGGGCCACTAAAGCTTCAATGAACGCCTTAGGGATGAGTTGGGCCAATAAAGCTCCAATGAACACCTTTGAGATGAGTTGGGCTGATAAAGCTCCAATGAACACCTTTGAGATGAGTTGGGCCAATAAAGCTCCAATGAACACCTTAGAGATGAGTTGGGCCAATAAAGCTCCAATGAACACCTTTGAGATGAGTTGGGCCAATAAAGCTCCAATGAACACCTTAGAGATGAGTTGGGCCAATAAAGCTCCAATGAACACCTTTGAGATGAGTTGGGCCGATAAAGCTCCAATGAACACCTTTGAGATGAATTGGGCCACTAAAGCTTCAATGAACACCTTAGGGATGAGTTGGGCCAATAAAGCTCCAATGAACACCTTTGAGATGAGTTGGGCTGATAAAGCTCAAATGAACACCTTTGAGATGAGTTGGGCCAATAAAGCTCCAATGAACACCTTAGAGATGAGTTGGGCCAATAAAGCTCCAATGAACACCTTTGAGATGAGTTGGGCCAATAAAGCTCCAATGAACACCTTAGAGATGAGTTGGGCCAATAAAGCTCCAATGAACACCTTTGAGATGAGTTGGGCCAATAAAGCTCCAATGAACACCTTTGAGATGAGTTGGGCCGATAAAGCTCCAATGAACACCTTTGAGATGAGTTGGGCCAATAAAGCTCCAATGAACACCTTAGAGATGAGTTGGGCCAATAAAGCTCCAATGAACACCTTTGAGATGAGTTGGGCCAATAAAGCTCCAATGAACACCTTAGAGATGAGTTGGGCCAATAAAGCTCCAATGAACACCTTTGAGATGAGTTGGGCCAATAAAGCTCCAATGAACACCTTAGAGATGAGTTGGGCCAATAAAGCTCCAATGAACACCTTTGAGATGAGTTGGGCCGATAAAGCTCCAATGAACACCTTTGAGATGAATTGGGCCACTAAAGCTTCAATGAACACCTTAGGGATGAGTTGGGCCAATAAAGCTCCAATGAACACCTTTGAGATGAGTTGGGCTGATAAAGCTCAAATGAACACCTTTGAGATGAGTTGGGCCAATAAAGCTCCAATGAACACCTTAGAGATGAGTTGGGCCAATAAAGCTCCAATGAACACCTTTGAGATGAGTTGGGCCAATAAAGCTCCAATGAACACCTTAGAGATGAGTTGGGCCAATAAAGCTCCAATGAACACCTTTGAGATGAGTTGGGCCAATAAAGCTCCAATGAACACCTTTGAGATGAGTTGGGCCGATAAAGCTCCAATGAACACCTTTGAGATGAGTTGGGCCAATAAAGCTCCAATGAACACCTTAGAGATGAGTTGGGCCAATAAAGCTCCAATGAACACCTTTGAGATGAGTTGGGCCAATAAAGCTCCAATGAACACCTTAGAGATGAGTTGGGCCAATAAAGCTCCAATGAACACCTTTGAGATGAGTTGGGCCAATAAAGCTCCAATGAACACCTTAGAGATGAGTTGGGCCAATAAAGCTCCAATGAACACCTTTGAGATGAGTTGGGCCGATAAAGCTCCAATGAACACCTTTGAGATGAATTGGGCCACTAAAGCTTCAATGAACACCTTAGGGATGAGTTGGGCCAATAAAGCTCCAATGAACACCTTAGAGATGAGTTGGGCCAATAAAGCTCCAATGAACACCTTTGAGATGAGTTGGGCCAATAAAGCTCCAATGAACACCTTAGAGATGAGTTGGGCCAATAAAGCTCCAATGAACACCTTTGAGATGAGTTGGGCCAATAAAGCTCCAATGAACACCTTTGAGATGAGTTGGGCCGATAAAGCTCCAATGAACACCTTTGAGATGAGTTGGGCCAATAAAGCTCCAATGAACACCTTAGAGATGAGTTGGGCCAATAAAGCTCCAATGAACACCTTTGAGATGAGTTGGGCCAATAAAGCTCCAATGAACACCTTAGAGATGAGTTGGGCCAATAAAGCTCCAATGAACACCTTTGAGATGAGTTGGGCCAATAAAGCTCCAATGAACACCTTAGAGATGAGTTGGGCCAATAAAGCTCCAATGAACACCTTTGAGATGAGTTGGGCCGATAAAGCTCCAATGAACACCTTAGAGATGAGTTGGGCCAATAAAGCTCCAATGAACACCTTTGAGATGAGTTGGGCCGATAAAGCTCCAATGAACACCTTTGAGATGAATTGGGCCACTAAAGCTTCAATGAACACCTTAGGGATGAGTTGGGCCAATAAAGCTCCAATGAACACCTTTGAGATGAGTTGGGCTGATAAAGCTCAAATGAACACCTTTGAGATGAGTTGGGCCAATAAAGCTCCAATGAACACCTTAGAGATGAGTTGGGCCAATAAAGCTCCAATGAACACCTTTGAGATGAGTTGGGCCAATAAAGCTCCAATGAACACCTTAGAGATGAGTTGGGCCAATAAAGCTCCAATGAACACCTTTGAGATGAGTTGGGCCAATAAAGCTCCAATGAACACCTTTGAGATGAGTTGGGCCGATAAAGCTCCAATGAACACCTTTGAGATGAGTTGGGCCAATAAAGCTCCAATGAACACCTTTGAGATGAGTTGGGCCAATAAAGCTCCAATGAACACCTTAGAGATGAGTTGGGCCAATAAAGCTCCAATGAACACCTTTGAGATGAGTTGGGCCAATAAAGCTCCAATGAACACCTTAGAGATGAGTTGGGCCAATAAAGCTCCAATGAACACCTTTGAGATGAGTTGGGCTGATAAAGCTCCAATGAACACCTTTGAGATGAGTTTGGCTGATAAAGCTCCAATGAACACCTTTGAGATGAGTTGAAGCGAACAATAAAGCTAATTCATCTGCTGTAATAAATACGGTTCAATTGAGTGGAATATGTGTGTGTGTGTGTGTGTGTGTGTGTGTGTGTTGCAGGCTGTGTGTGGGTGTGGCATGAAGAGTGTAAATCTCCTGCAGTGTTGCTGAGCTGCTCTAACAGGAAGGTGAGTTTTCACCCCGATTACAGCTGCGGCACAGCGGCCGTCCGCGGGTCAGCAGAGCTACGGCACGGTCAGCACTTCTGGGAGATAAAGATGACCTCGCCTGTGTACGGCACTGACATGGTGAGATACTCACTGTACGGATGGGGGCATTTATTTAAACGTACTCGTCTTAGTGTTGGTTCACTTAACTGGGTGTCTTAATAAACATGTGCAGTGTGTCATGACTCAGTAAGATGTGGGAACAAGATCCTAATGCGTGGTCATGACTTAGTAAGACGTGGGAATGAGATCCTAAAGCATAGCCACGACTTAGTAAAATGTGGGAATGGGATAATTACGTCGTGGCCATGACTTAGTAAGGCATGGGAATGAGATCCTAATGTGTAGCCACAACTTAGTAAAGTGTGGGAACAAGATAATTATGTCATGATCATGACTTAGTAAGGTGTGGGAACGAGATCCTAATGCGTAGCCATGACTTAGTAAAGTGTGGGAATGATGCGGCAGTGCGACTCAGTCTGAACAGCCAGATCGGAATTCATGCGACGTTTACGTCAATCTGGCTCGACTCGTCATAATTTGGTGCTGCTGAGACTCATAAACGTTTGGGCTGATGTTTCTGTTCCGCTGCGTGTTTGAAGAGAAATGACCGATTGTGGCCGCAGGAGAGGCTGCAGCGTCAAAGTTGCCCTTATGGTGTAACAACGCGCCCCTTTTACAGCGACCTCGAACTGCTCATCAGCTCCTGTGACGCTGATCCTCGGGGAGCGGACGTCACTGCTGACTCCACTTTGATTGTTTACCTCTGGATGAGCCTTGTGTTGTTTTCCTGCGCATGCAGCTCAGTTCAGGAGCTGATCTGTTCAGACTGATGTCACATAAGGTCACACTTAAAAGATAATCTGAACAGCCTGACAAAAAATCAGACTTGGTGAGAAAATCAGATTTGGGCCACTTTTACCTGCTGTGTGAACGCAGCCATAGTCTGGTCAATCAAACTGACAGTTTCTCAGATCAGCCAAGGCAAGCTTGGTGTCTGTGGTTTTGTACTGGAGCAGTGGGGCTAATTTGGCTAACGAGTAGTGCAATCTTTTACCCCACCAATTAGCATGGTGCTAACTGCATGTCTGAGTCATTATGAAGAGGAGATCATTGCGTAACTGCAGCCGTCCTGAAGCCACATGAGACGCCACATAGTCAGGTGTGTTTAGGATCGCTGTGTGTGTGTTTGTGTGCAGATGGTGGGAATCGGAACGCCGGAGGTGAATCTGGATCAGTTCAGGCACAGTTTCTGCAGCATGCTGGGAGCAGACGCCCACAGCTGGGGGCTCTCCTACACAGGTACACACCACAGGTCATGTGACCTTTCTCTTTATTTTATAACTCATTTTTTTGTGGTGCAACAATTCAAGAAAAACGTTTCTCAACATAAAATAACAAAGGACTTTAGCTTTTCATCATCTACGGTACATAATATCATTAAAGATTCAGAGAATCTGGAGAAATCTCTGTATGTAAGGGACGAGGCCAAAAACCAGTATTTGCTGGCCGTGATCTTTGGGCTCTCAGGCAGCACTGCATTAAAAACAGACATGATTCTGTAGTGGAAATCACTGCATGGGCTCAGAAACACTTCTGAAAACCACAGTCTGTGAAAACAGTTCATCACTGCATCCACATATATAAGTTAAAACTCTAAAACACAAAGAAGAAACCATATATAAACAGGATCCAGAAACGCTGCCACCTTCTCTGGGCCTGAGCTCATTTAAAATGGACTGAGGGGAAGTGGAAAAGTGTTCCTTGGTACGACGAATCAACATTTGAAACTCTTTTTGGAAATCATGGACACTGTGTCCTCCGGGCTAAAGACCACTCAGCTTGTTATCAGTGCACAGTTCTAAAGCCAGTATTCATGATGGTATAGGGGGCATTAGTGCACATGGTATGGGTGACGTGCTCATCTGTGAAGGCACCATTAATGCTGAATGATATATACATGTTTTGGCAACATATGCTGCCATCCAGACGACGATCTTTTTCAGGGAAGGCCTTGATTATTTCAGTAAGACAATCTCAAACCACATTCTGCATGTATTACAGCAGCATTGCTCTGTATTAAAAGAGTCCGGGTGCTAAACTGACCTGCCTGCAGTCCAGACCTGTCACCACTGAAAACATTTGGCACATTATAAAATGAAAAATACGACAAATGAGCCCCTGAACTGATGAGCAGCTAAAATCCTGTATCAAACAAGAGCAGGAAAACATTTCCCTTTCTAAACTACAGCAGTGACTCCTCAGTTCCCAAACGCTTACAGAGTGTTGTTAAAGAAGAGGTGGTGAAACACAGTGGTAAACAGGCCCCCGTCCCAACTTTTTTGGAACGTGTTGTTGGCATCAAATTCAAAATGGGCAAATATTTTTCAAAAAACAATAAAATTTTTCAATGTTTCATACATTTGATATGTTGTCTTTGTTGTATTTTCCTGTTAAAATATAGTTTAGATGGTTTGCACATCATTACATCCTATTTTTATTTACATTCTGCACAGCGTCCCAACTTTTTTGGAAATGGGGTTGTATTTGATAAACACATTTGCATACATTTATTTTTGTATGGTACATTTCTATGTGTAATATTTCCCCACACATTTTAAAATAAATGCATCTTAAAATATATTTGGTTCATATGGCAAAATATTCTGAAATATATTTTAGTGTTTGAATGTATATCTGTATGGACTGCAATGTATTTGAAATATATAAAAATACATGTCCATATATTTTTTAAACATGGGTGGGTAAAGCCTGCTTATTCAGTATCCTCACTAAGGCTGATCTGATGAACTGCCCCCCCCCTGGCAATGATCTCTCTGTGTTCCAGTAATGTTGTCTTCTGTCTCGTTGTGTGCAGGTCTTCTGCACCATAAAGGGTCAAAGGTCAGTTTTTCTCCACGGTTTGGTCAAGGCTCCATTATTGGACTTCATCTGGACACTTGGTACGGAACTCTAACCTTCTACAAGAACCGCCGGTGGATTGGTAAGACTTAACACACAAACACACTCTGTGTCCAAAAGCACCAAGACACTTTCAGGTGCACCCACTGCTGATAGGTGTTCAGTTGTGCACTCAGCTTGTGTAGAAAAGCACTGACCAGTAGAATGAGATGCTCTGGAGCAGCTACGCATGACCCTAAGGTCACCATGCCCAATGGCAAGCGTGGTCTAGAGGGGTATTAAGCCCCCCAGCATTGGGCTGTGGAGCAGTGGAACTGTGTTCACTGGAGTGATGGAGCTCCATCCAATACCTTTGGGATGAGTCAGTGATCCAGAACTGACCATCCAACTTCAGTACCTGACCTCACTAATGCTCAATCAGATCCTCACAGCAATGTTCCAACATCTAGTGTAAAGTCTTCCCAGAAGAGTAGAGGCTGTTACTGCAGCACAAACTCACTAATAACACCTTCATTTCAGAAGAAACTCTGGAGGAGCAGCATCTCAATCACTGAGCTGTACTCAGAGTGATTCAGAGCGGTTTGGTGTGAAATGGTTCAGATGTCTTTACAGTGGTGGTGATAGGAACCAGGGGTCGCCATGACTACAACACAAATATAGACATTTTATTTACTATCCAGAACCACCAGTGAACCTACACGAGTCTTCTGAGTCTATATGGAATGTTGATGATGGAAAATAGTGGAAAATCTGAAATAAGTTTTCTTTGGGGACTATTTTGCCTCACAGCGCCCTGCATGTATCCCTCCACCATGAATGGAGTTTAAGTTCTCTAAACTATCATAAAACAGTGTCTCAGTCATCAGGCAGTGAATTCATAACCATTTCATGTAGGAACTTTCTGTGAGGGAGCTTTTAGAGGTGGACGTCTGGTTCCTATCACCACCACTGTGAACAGTTCTGACTCGGTAAGTTTATCTAGAACGGAGCGTTTCACACCGAACCACTCTGAACCACTCTGTTTACAGCTTAAGCTTATAATTATGTAGGACATTTTAAAAAATTGGTAGAATTCCCTTTTAAGGCTTAAGGAAGACCCAACATTTTGCACGCTGCCTATTAGACTGCATTAACTATAAGAAATCAAGCAAATCTGAGATGGTCAGTGGGGAACTGTGTCTAAAATCTGATATTAGGTGGATTTTCCCTCATGTAAGACGTAACCTCTTCCAGGTGTGGCTGCCACGGGGCTGCGCAACAAGTCCTTCTACCCCATGGTGTGCTCCACTGCAGCTAAGAGCAGTATGAAGGTGATCAGCTCAGTCTCCGCCCCCACCTCCCTGCAGTACCTGTGCTGTATTCACCTGCGAGAGTACCTGCCGGACACGCCGGACGCTCTCTCTGCTCTGCCCTTACCGCCGGGGCTAAAGCTACAGCTCAGCCAGCAGCTCGGCTGGGTGCTCAGGCTCAGAAAGCCCGAGGCGTCCACAAATACCTGTGCTGAGGATTCCCAGCCAGGCCATGCCCCCTATCAGAGCCCATACCTGGACTCCACCTCCTTAAAACCTGCACACACATACCTGTCCCCTCATTCTGACTCAGCATCCTTCACACCAGCAAACACATACCTGAGCTCTCATCCTGACTCCGCCCACATACCTACACACACACACCTGAGCTCTCCTCCTGACTGCGCCTCCTTCACGCCCGCAGATACATACCTGTCCCCTCATCCTGACTCCGCCTCCTTCACACCTGCTGATACACACCTGACCTCTCATCCTGACCCCGCCTCCCTTCTTGATGCTGCAGCAACTCCTGACTCTGCCTATTGCACACCTGCAGACACATGCCTCACCTGTCGTCCTGACTCCGCCTCTTACTTTGATGATGATAACGCTGCATATCCTGACTCTGCCTATTGCACACCTGCACACACATACCTGTCCTCTCATCCTGACCCCGCCTCCTGCAAAGATGTTGATCCTGATTCGTTCTCGGACCTTGGCTCCTGTTCTGACTCCGCCTCCTGTTCTGACCCCGCCTCCTGCCCTTGCTGCGATGCTCCTTTTTCTCTTGTGACCTGTGGCCGTGACGACTGCCTCTCTAGTGCCTCCTGCTGCTCAGGTCCCGCCTCCCGCCCTGCCTCCCCTCTTCCTGATCACTTCTGCTGCCCCGCCTCTCCTCCTCCTAACCCCACCCACTCTAGGCCAGGCGCCACCTCTGGGAGCGACTCCGACAGCTGCACTTCGGAAACCTGCCAGAGGAAACGCTGCCGCTGGACATGACACACATACACACACACACACACACACACACACACACACACACTCACACACACACACACACACACACACACAGATTCATACAATACAGGCCAAAAGTTTGAAAGCAAGCAGCTGAAATCTCCCCATAATAATTCTTATGCATAATTTCTTTTCTAATATTTGGTTGTGTGGCCCTTTGCCTTAATACTATACTAAAAATATTTGGACGTCATGAAAGTTACTGTTAGTTTAGCTGTCTTAGGTGTGGGAATGAGATAAATAAGTTAGGATAATCAAGTTGTGGCCACGACTTAGTAAGGTGTGGGAATGACAATTAATTTGGGATACTTAAGTCGATTATGTCCACAACCTTGTAAAACATGGGAATGAGATAATTAAGATATGCCACGAGTTAGTAAATCATGAGAACAAGGTAATTGAGCCTTCACCACAACTAAGTAAAGTGTGGGAACAGACTAATTAAGACATGGCCATGAGTTACTCAAGTGCAGGTATGAGATAATTTAGCTGTGGCCAGAAGTGAATAAAGTGCAGGAATGAGATAATTAAGTTGTGACCACAAGTTAACAAGGAATTATATAATTTAGTTGTGGCCACAAGTTAATAAAGTGCAGGAATTGGATACTTAAGTTGAGGCCACAAGTTAATAAATTACAGGAAAGAGATAATTAAGTCATGCTCATGACTTAATAAAGCTTGGGAACAAGATAATGAAGTTGGGATAATTAACACACACACACACACACACATACAGACACACACACACACACACACACAGACAGACACACACACATACAGACACACACAGACAGACAGACACACACAGAGACACACAGACAGACACAGACACACACAAACACACACACACACATACAGACACACACATACAGACACACACACATACAGACACACACAGACAGACACACACAGACAGACAGACACACACAGAGACACACAGACAGACACACGCAGACAGACAGACACACACACAGACACATACAGACACACACACACAGACACACACACACACGGCTCCTGTCGTTTATTTATAACACTTCCTGTCTTATCTCGGATGAGGAGCATGACTTGAACACAGCTAGTTGCCATATGAGGTACAGTTTACTGCTTCTACCGTTGTACTTTGTATTCCAGCCAATCAGAATAAGCTCCTCCCCCTGTCCTGGGTCAGTCTCAGGGTGTTCTCTTGTTTGAAATCTTGAAGATGGTGTTTTTGTGGACAGACTGAGAGTAGAATGGTGAGGCAGTGTGAATACCCCTCGTGTTTTGGAGACATTTATGCATGTGTTGTTTGGGCTTCATGAGTTTCCTAAAGCGCTTTACAAACATTATAGGGTGAAGGAAAAGACCCCCAATCTGCTCATCTGAACATCTGATCTTAGCTGCGACGGTTTCTTTTCAGTTTATATACTTATATACATTCACACCACCCCCATCTACTTTATGAGCTCTACGTGATTTTGGGCCGTTTCTTTTGGTCCATTCTTCATGAAATTTACACACGAAGTAAAGGACAACAGGCATTTTCACATTACATATATATATAGCGATATACAGTTGTATGGAAGTTCTCCACAGAGAACACACTTCTGCACATATACAATTACTGTTTATTTGTTTGATACTGGAAAAAATAAAACATAAAACATGGCCTGTGCACATTTTATACTTAATGATTTATTTTTTATGATATATGATTTATATTTAATATGTTAAAGGTGCAGTGTGTAAGATTTAGTGCCATCTAGTGGTGAGGCAGCAGATTGCTCCCAGCCGAATCCCCCTCCCTCACCCCTCCCTTTCCAAGCGTGTAGTACAACCTACATGTTGCCATCAGGTTTTCTGCCGTCGTCTGTCCTGATTTCGTTTAGCGTCTTCATGTTTTTTCTTCTTTGACAGTGAGGATTCACCCTCCCTCGCTTTTTCTTGTGCTAAATAGAAGATTTAGCTAGATAAAAGTCTGATCCTCCATTCGTCAAAATTTGGATTCTCACAGCACAAAATGGTCAGCAGCACCAGCAGCAACCACTGATTCTTCTTCATTCTACATCTTCCAACCGGAGCTGCAGCGCCACCAGATTCAAACTGCTGCTTCAGCGTAAAAACGCGAAAGGCGCCCTCTAGAGGCAGTGTTTGGTTTGTCCGCTCTGGGCTTCTGTAGAAACTTGGCGGTGCTCCCTATGTAGATATGAAGGGCTCATTCTAAGATAAAGAAAACAATGATTCATAGTTACAGCTGATAATACACTAATGAACACATGGCTTGAAATGCTGTATTCAATTTCTTATAATAGATGTCCCCAAATCTCACATACTGCACCTTTAAATTCAGTCAATGAACAGGAACTGTGCATCAAAATGTGCAGAAGTGTGTCTCTGTAGACGATGTGTTCACTTATTTACTCAGAAAATCAATGTCATTTAAACAGGGCGCCCATACTTTTGCATATGACTGTGTTTACACACACACACACACACACACACACACACACGCACACAGTAACGAGACAGGAACATGACTTCTGTTCACTGTAGCTGACTGAATGCTGCTGCGAGGCTAGGGGTCAGGATTAAAGCTCGTACAGCGAGTGGTTTGTAGAAGCTTGTATAGTTTAAACTTTTCCTGAGGCCAAAAAAAAATACTGTCTAACTTCTTAGACCATCACCCAGAAATGTGATACTTTAACTGAGCACTTTTTATTATTGTTTGTAAACTTTTTTGTTTATTATATCAGTCTAACTGAGTAGCAAACTGCATGAACTCTGTAGTGCCCTTTTATATAATCTTTGCACATTTTCTTACTGATGTTATTGTTTGGAGAGAAAAGAAAATCAAGACTAAACAATAAAACAGATACAAAAGGAAACTTGTGTTAATAAATCCTTCATTAACACAATATAATATCCATTCATAAAGAAATAATACATTTCTGTAGTGCAGATAAACTGCTGTGCAAACAAAGACAGCCTTGTATTCGTCTGTCGAAAGTCACGTCATGTTCATGGTGTGGTTGAGGCAACATCTGTACGTTGATCTTGAAGCGACGTCTGGACGAGGAGGAACGTCTCCAAACGGAATATGCAGTGTGGGAACGGTCAGTCGAAGTTCGGACGTGTTTCACTGTGGTGGTTCGAGACCTGTAGAGCAGAGAGACGAACATACACATTTACAGGAGGCCCAATGCTATGGGGGGATGGGGGGACACGAGGTTATGTGTTTGAGAGTGTGTGGTTCGACGTGATCATGTGATGCGTTACTGCCATTTCAACTGCTGCTCCATGAAACCTGGGTCACAAAGTTAAAAGATCTGCAACTGTTGCTGCTGAGTTTCAAGTGAGTTGCAGGACGCTTTACTTCATGCAACTCAAGGTGCCATTAAGTTTCATGTAGGCTTCAAATAAATAAGGTTACATTGTGTAAAGCCTAACATTCCATCAAGAACACAGATCTTCATCACTCCCAATTGTAGTGTTAGTGTTTAATCCTTACAACTGCACTAATGGGAATTACAGGGACTTCCTAGCTGAGAAACCTTTCAATTATTTCAGTCAGTACTACTCAGTAACAGTCTGTCAGACAGAGCTGAGCGCTACTGTGTTCAGTACAGAGAGCTCGTCATCCCAACTCGATGGTAAATGTCTAATTTGCCAACATGAACTAAGGCTGGCTTTACACAGTGAAACCTTACAGTTGCATGATTTTTTTGCATTTTCCCCAATTTTCTCCCCAATTTAGTCGTATCCAATTCCACCCACGAGTTAGTTCTCCCCCCAATCACACGATACCACGAGCGCTAGGAGGGCGAAGCCTAGCATAGGCTTCCTCCTAGACCTGTGAAGCTCCACTACATCTTTTCAAACTGCCTCTAACGCAGATCCACTGGAGCTCAACACGCTTGGAGGAGAACACTAAGCACCAGTTCTGTTACGTCAGCTAACAGACGTCTGCGCTGGCTACCATGGCATTGAGTGATGGGGGGAGACGAGGGGGCCATCCTGCCCACCCAGTGTGATCGAGAGTTACGATCTCTTGACTCCTGGACACGGATAAACTCGCAGTCTCCTGATGTAACTAGCTGCTAGGGCTGCACGATGTATCATTTCATGTGCAGTAGTCATACAGCAGGACATGCGGTCATCAAGGCAAATTAAATCAAACACATCATGTTACTGCTGAGAATCTAAAGGGTTGAGATTCTGAGTGCACTGCATTGTGGTAACTGTAGTGAGTTTACCTGCAGTTTGTGTGGCGCTGTAGCCGAAGCTGCAGTGTGAAACGCTGAACTCTCACACATTTCTTTTCATGCTGGCCACTCATTCATGCCCTTTACTGCCTCTCCAATCTAACTCATCCTTTGTCAGTGAAAACGTGCCAGAATCGTGGGACCTAGTGATGTTAAACGGCCCGGTAACACTACTGACTTTAACTGCTTGATACGAAAGGAAAACTCACATGTCCTCATTCTCCATGACTAATCTACAAGAGGAGTCAGTCTGACATCATTTACTCCCATTTCAGGGTTTGTGGATACTGACATAACAGCTCTGTCTCTGTTTATCAGAGCGTCGCCGCTCCCACAGTTTCAGTCTCCATTTCCCAAACGCTTTAGCCGAGCGCGCTAACGTTACTCCTCCTAATAAACAGACACACGTTCAGCTCCGCCTCCTCATTATTCACCACCATTACTGTAATATTTCATCATCAACATTAAGGTATGGTGAGTAAACAGATACGATTTCAGAGTTCAGGTGGTTCTGTAATATGACCCCTGGTTCCTTTCTTGACACTACCCTTCTTCATTCACAGCAATTATGAGTCGCTTGCAATATAATTTTCATTCAAACTTGACAGTTAAAACATGCAATTCAAAAATAAAGTTGGCAGCTCTTATTCTGTAATACTGGATCGTTCTCACTAGAAAGTCATCCGCCTGAGTGTAATTTACACATTTACAGCATTTTTATCATCTTTGTAATTCTTCCAGCTGCCAATGCCTTTGTTTTTTCTGTTTTTTCATATCTATCTTTTATCTGTCTATCTGGGAGGGGCTCAATAAACCATCTTCTGCTTTCTTTTACTGTCCACAGATTCAGTGAAATCAATTGTTTGAAAGTGGGTAGTTTGATGTGATCATGTGATGTGTTACTGCCATTTCAACTGGCTGTTTCTTGTGTTATGTAGTTGAAAGACTTGCAACTGTTGCAGCTGAGTTGCAAATGAGTTGCAGGATGCTTTATGCAACTCGAGTGCCTATTAGTTTCATGTAGGTTTCAAGCAAATAAGGTTACACTGTGTAAAGCCTAACATTACAACAAGAATTCATATCTTCATCACTCTCAATCATAAATCTAGCAAAAGAAACAGTGGAAGAGTGAAATCCATCGATTACAGACCTCTGAAGTCGTGTCATAACTCCCATATTAGGAACTCCAGGTCTAAGCAGTTAAACAAAAACGTTTGAAAGTTGACACATTGTCTTCTGTACATGTGTCGCAGTAATCATGGTGTTATGAAATCACCCAAATATGAGTATCACTGCATGCGAGCCAACACTGCTGCACGATGACATCATAAGACAGTATGAATATTAGGAGTAGCTGGTTTTTCGAATATAGCAGTGTTGAAGTTTAATAGCAGATATAATTTCATGTGACCTGGTTTGTAGCTTGTATGTAGAAATATTCATATTTCGACTCCTCAACAGCTTTGTAATTCAGAGGAAGCTAAAGCTAAGCAGGTTAGCCTGTCGCTCTAATATCACTATATAACCACAGAATATAAAGACTGCTTTGATGCTCTTCAAACACCTTCCTCTCGTCTTCCTCCAGCTCCACTAGTCCAGCACCAGCTGAGGATTCTGGGACGTCATGAGCCGATGCACACGATTCGACAGTTCGGGTCCGACACGCCTCTCTTTAGCTCCGCCCCTCACAGTCAGATCAGCCAATAGTTTACGTTGCTCTTCTTCTGACTCGGCCTCTTTATATGCCTTATGGGATACAGAGAGGGAGAATGAGGATTACTTCCTGCTTTACAATACAGGGGCGTGGCTAAAATAAGGCTCCACCCACATACTAAAACTTTGTGTTTCAGTAGTGATGTGATAACAAGGGACAGCATTTTTTTGCATAAAGTTTTCTTTTTTATTTAAAACTTAAACTCAAGATAAATCTAAATCTTACAACTTAACTTTAAATAATAAAGATCTTTTAAAAAACGTTGTGCTGTTGTGAGTGAATGGCTAGACTTCTTGTCTGTAGATTTAAAGACACACAGCGTCACCTAGTGTACTGAGGTAGGAGTGTTTGTTGCTCATACTGGATTAGGGAACAGAACCATACAAGCATTTTATCAAAAATCTCATGCACATTATTGATAATGAATAAGCATTTTTATCATTATCATTATGGTTTTATTGCTGCGTTTTAATATTTTTACTTACTATAATAAAATAAAGCGTTCAGAAATATGTGAATGCATCACTTAGTCATGCTCAATTCACAGCCTGTATAGTAAAGTAAACAATAAATAAGAAAATATGTGCTGTACCTGCAGCAGAAGGGAGGGTGACGGGTAGGCAGAGGTCACGGCTGTTGCCATGGCAGCACTGACCCGGTTGAGCTGCTGAATTTGCCTCGTCCACACCTGAGCGAGGCCCCGCCCACTTCCATCCACACGCACTCCTCCGGACCAGGAGCCGTCCAGACAGAAGCCCAGATCAGTGCTGTCACACAGTGCTCTGCACACAAAACACAACAAGAAGAAGAATGCCTGATTTGAATAATAATAATAATAATTTAATTTTTACACAATTTCACGATGGGGGCCTACAAACATACATATACTAGGTCTGTTGAAGGAGCCGTCTAACCTTAATGAGATAATTTATTAATGCTGCAAACTTTCAAACTTTTTAAAATGCATTTACAACCCCATTTCCAAAAATGTTGGGACGCTGTGCAGAATGTAAATAAAAATAGGATGCAAAGATGTGCAAATCATGTAAACCACATTTTTAAAAAAAACAGTACAAAGAGATTCATATCAAATGCTCCGGGGAAAACGGTGGGGTGGATTAACAGTGATGAGGCAGTGGTGTAATGGTGCGCGTATTCATCCCAAACTGTCACGATACGGACGTTATGGTTCGGTGCACGCAGGCGTATAGAATACATATGTGGTATGTGCGAAGTTCGATGAAAGTAACACAGAACCAAATTTCATAAGCGCGAGTTCCACCTGGAAACATTAAGCTGTAAGCTGTTAGCAAGTCAGCGGCAGCGTCATAACTCCTGACCCCAGATCAGCTGTGAGGCTGAGTCTGAGGTGGACAGTGAGCGAGAGGCGAGGAAGCAGCTGTCGAGGGCAATAAAGAGAGGATTTTTAGAAAAACACAAACTGAAATTAAACGAATGAAGCGAGTCTGATCTACACAGCCTGCAGTGTTTCTGCGCCTGTGAACAGATTCAGCACCAAGACTTACAACCTTTTCTGTGTTCTCTGCTTTTTTTTTACATTTATGGGATTTAAGTAGGGTAGTGTCAGGAGTCTTGCCCAAGGACTCTTATTGGTATAGTGTAGGGTGTTCTACCAGGGGAGGGAGTTGAACCCCAGTCTACAGCGTAGAAGGCCGAGGTGTGACCCACTACACTAAACCATCCACCACTCCAACTACAAAACTATCAGCACACAGGTTAGTTAACGCTAGTGACTTTCATAGCCAAGTGAAAATGACCTACTACAGGCTGTAGCAGCTTAGGTTACCTCAGGGGGGCGCTATACAACACCAGGTGGAACAAACTGTAACTTGCGTTACTGTCTGTTCAAAATAAATGAAAAGAAACCTGGTCTTATGCATTTGGGGCGTTTTTGTTGCTTTTTTTTTTTATCGTACCGAACAGTGATGTTCAAACCGCGCTGTGAACTGAACCGTGACTCGTGAGTCCATTACACCCCTACAATATAATAAATCATGGTATTGAAAGATGATGGTATTTCAAAATTATGATGTGTGAAATTTCTATTCCACGTCTGAACGGCCAAATAAACACATCCCCCCCTTTATATCTTAGAGAATCTCAGTGACTGGAGGTGTGGAAGTTCAGTGCGTATACATGTACTCAATAATCCGATCGTAATCTGAGTTCTGCAGTTATCTGATTATTCAAATGGTCATGTAAACACCACACTCTGATCTAGAAATCTGATTAAGAAATCTGATAAAGAGGCTGGATTTTAGCTCAGTAATCAGATTTCTCACTGCATGTAAACTCTTACTCTGATGTCTTTCAGATTTCTCAGTCTGCGCATGTGTGAGATCAGACGGTGGATGTCACGAGACGCAGCAAAACACTTGGAGCAGCACTGAAACCAAACACGAAATAAAGGATCTAAACATTCTACATCTTCTAGATGATGTATGTTCGTATTTTAGGTGAAGTGATTCGATGTTTAAAAAAAAAAAGCTATAGTATGAAGTTTGAGTTTACGTTACGTTTATGCCGCGTCCTCTTTCTTTGAGTTTATTGGCTGGTTGCAAAGTAGAAATCTGATTACTGTCTGACTCATGTAGACCCTGAG